GGCAGTGTCACCGTGCACGGGTCCTGGCAGTGTCACTGTGCACGGGTCCTGGCAGTGTCACCGTGCACGGGTCCTGGCAGTGTCACCGTGCACAGATCCTGGCAGTGTCACCGTGCATGGGTCCTGGCTGTGTCACCGTGCACGGGTCCCGACAGTGTCACCGTGCACGGGTCCTGGCAGTGTCACCGTGCATGGGTCCTGGCAGTGTCACCCTGCACAGGTCCCGGCAGTGTCACCCTGCACGGGTCCTGGCAGTGTCACTGTGCACAGGTCCTGACAGTGTCACCGTGCACAGATCCTGGCCATGTCACTGTGCACAGGTCCTGGCAGTGTCACAGTGTACAGGTCCTGGCAGTGTCACTGTGCACAGGTCCTGGCAGTGTCACCGTGCACAGGTCCTGGCAGTGTCACCCTGCACGGGTCCCGGCAGTGTCACCCTGCACGGGTCCTGGCAGTGTCACTGTGCACGGGTCCCGGCAGTGTCACTGTGCACGGGTCCTGGCAGTGTCACCGTGCACGGGTCCCGGCAGTGTCACCGTGCACAGATCCTGGCAGTGTCACTGTGCACAGGTCCTGGCAGTGTCACCGCAGTGTCCCCGCTCCCGGGCCGTGCTGCCCCGGTAACAGCCGCACGTCACCGGGACCAAACCGGGGCTCACAAAAAGCTCAGAGCAGAGGCAGAGACCCCGGGAGTGGCACCGGGGCAGCTCCCGGCCCCCTGTCCCCGTTACCGGGAGGGATCGTCACTGGTGCCTCTGAATGGCGCTGAAATGTGGCAGCAGGGACAGGGACAGCGGGGCCGGGAGCAGCGGGACAGGCTGGGACACCTGGAGAGGAGAAGGAACCAGGCAGAGCTGGGGGGGCTCACCTGGAGAGGAGAAGGAACCAGGCAGAGCTGGGGGGGCTCACCTGGAGAGGAGAAGGATCCAGGGAGAGCTCAGAGCCCCTGGCAGGGCCTGGAGGGGCTCCAGGAGAGCTGCAGAGGGACTGGGGACAAGGATGGAGGGACAGGAGCCAGGGAATGGCTCCCAGTGCCAGAGGGCAGGGCTGGGTGGGACCTCAGGAGGGGTGTTCGGGTTTTGGGGTTTTGGGGTTTGGGGTTTGGGGTTTGGGGTTTGGGGTTTGGGGTGTTGGGTTTTGGGGTTTTGGGGTTTGAGGTTTTGAGATTTTGGGATTTGGGATTTGGTGTTTGGGGCTCTGCAGAGCCCTGGGCTGTCCCTCCCTCCACACTGAGGGGCCACCGCCGGCGCTGGGGACAGCGCTGTCACCTCGGCTGCTCCTCAGGCTCTGGGGTGGCACGGCAGGAATGGCTGGGCTGGGAGAATGCGAAATGAGATGTAAAAATTCACTCTTTCAGCAATGAGTCCAATCATATGGATATATCTAAAATATACAAGTGTGAGAACTAAAAAATATCTTAAAATACATAAAATATCCACATATGTAATACAATAAATACCTACATATGTAATATACAAATATATCAATATATATGTAATAGATAAATTTATATATCTAAAAATACATATATAAATAAAAAACATATACATTTACATATAAATATGCATAATATATAAAATATAGACATTTACTTTATATAACATATATAAATATGTTATATAAAATATATCATATATCATATATGCCATATTACTTGNCCAGGCAGAGCTGGGGGGGCTCACCTGGAGAGGAGAAGGATCCAGGGAGAGCTCAGAGGGGGGGGCAGGGCCTGGAGGGGCTCCAGGAGAGCTGCAGAGGGACTGGGGACAAGGATGGAGGGACAGGAGCCAGGGAATGGCTCCCAGTGCCAGAGGGCAGGGCTGGGTGGGACCTCAGGAGGGGTGTTCGGGTTTTGGGGTTTTGGGGTTTGGGGTTTGGGGTTTGGGGTTTGGGGTTTGGGGTGTTGGGTTTTGGGGTTTTGGGGTTTGAGGTTTTGAGATTTTGGGATTTGGGATTTGGTGTTTGGGGCTCTGCAGAGCCCTGGGCTGTCCCTCCCTCCACACTGAGGGGCCACCGCCGGCGCTGGGGACAGCGCTGTCACCTCGGCTGCTCCTCAGGCTCTGGGGTGGCACGGCAGGAATGGCTGGGCTGGGAGAATGCGAAATGAGATGTAAAAATTCACTCTTTCAGCAATGAGTCCAATCATATGGATATATCTAAAATATACAAGTGTGAGAACTAAAAAATATCTTAAAATACATAAAATATCCACATATGTAATACAATAAATACCTACATATGTAATATACAAATATATCAATATATATGTAATAGATAAATTTATATATCTAAAAATACATATATAAATAAAAAACATATACATTTACATATAAATATGCATAATATATAAAATATAGACATTTACTTTATATAACATATATAAATATGTTATATAAAATATATCATATATCATATATGCCATATTACTTGCAACATATATAATTACATAATAAAATATATTTAATATATTCTAATATATATAATTATACACATATCATATATACATAATTATTATATGTATTATATTTTTAAATATATATATTATATTTTTTATATTAATTTAAATATCAGTATATCATATAAACATCTATATTTATATAAAATGTATATATAATTTTTAATATATCAATATATATATATAAGTTTATATGTTTGTTTATAAATTTTATATATTTTTAATATAAATTTTATATATTTATATATTATATATAATTTATCAAATATTAAATATATAGTTTATAAATACTAAATGTATTATAGCTGTAATATATAAATATATGCATCTCAAATTTATATAAATATAATTATATTTAGATATAGTATATATATATGTATATTACATGTGTAATATAGAAATATACATTATATAAATATATAAGTAATATGTAAATCTATAAAACTTTATAAATAAATATGTAAATGTCTACATATATAATATGTGAATATCTAAATGCTTGCATAAAACATGCAAAGCATGTGATTTTATTAAAAACATCTCAAAACAGATAAAAATAGATAAAAACACGTAAGATACATCAAAATTTAAAAATAAGTTAATGAAGTTCTGCGCCCGCCGTGCCGGCACCTCCCACAGCAGCCCCCGCTTGTGCATCACATCCCATAACAACACATCCCATCCCATAATAATCCATCCCATCCATCCCAT